TAACATTGATAAAAAAGGAGGGGGCTGAGCTCATGCGGGACCCGGCAGCTACTGTCTAAACTAAATGCTGCCGTGATGAAACGCCATATCATGGATTATCAAGGATTCTCTCTGAAACAGTATGGAGCTCAAAGGCTTTCTCTCTTGCCGGTTATACCACAAGGTGAGTTCCTTTTCATTTCCTGCTTCTTCACACACATGCTCTCCAGTACAGGTTAGCTCTGAGTGTTAGCGATGCTAATGTAAACAAAGACCATATTACGTCCAAAACAGTCGGGCATTGTTTCTGATAGCAACGTTTCTGATTGGGCTGTGGGTCCACATTTCAGATATTACGTCATATCGGACGCAAATCTGGATCAGCTCCGTTGTAGCCCCGTTTTTAGAGATTTGGGTACGGAGCAAAAGAGAGAGGGTTTTATTTTCTGACACTGCGTGAGTTCCCTGACACACCGGGGACACATCTTTATGTATACAAGACATCAAAAAGTGCATTTTGCATGATAGGACCCCTTTAACTTTTTAAGGTTGTACACTAACTAAAGTCCTAGTGATGATTTGACGGCCATCGCTCAGTACTGATGCAATGCAATTTGTCTCTATACTTTAGACTGGGCAGACTTGGAGGCAGATGCCCACTCCCATTACAGTGAAAGCAGAGCAGAAACCCAGTCTTTGTGAAAAGAAGAGGAAAACGAAGGAGCCAGCTACACTTAGCGCTCCAACACGACAAAAGTGTACAAATAATCCAGCATATAATAATTCCATCCCATTGGTATTTTAAAGACACGTTACAGACGTTAATCATGAATGTAAGCGACGTCAGCCAGCCTCAACCGGGACGTCCAGCGTTACTCTGTGGCGTTAAAATTACAGCCGTGGCCGGAAATGGGGAGTTACTGTTTTATCTGTCCTGAATATTAACATTCTTCCGGAGCTGCTGGGGGAAACCATAAGCCTGTGTTTAAGAAATATCACTGCTATCATGGAAAACACATCCAAAAACATGCTCTTAACAGGAATGAAGGAAGGAATTCTTATTATTGTATTTCAAACACAACTTGGTACAAACCTTCTTAAACGTATAAAACAACGTCAACCTGATGATTTTGATGTTTTAAAGAGGCGTGATTTATTGCTCTACAACCTGCTCGTCTGTTTACCTTACTGACCACAGTCACCTGTCCAGGCTTGGCTAATCTTTTGATTCCATCCTGTATTAATATACACATTGTATAAGGTATAAAAAAAGAAACGGCACAGTTTTTATTCTTGTATTAAAAAAAAGAACTGCAGAGAAATCCAAAGAATATTTTCAATCTCTTACTTTTTCTAGACATGCATTATTTAATATTTTAAAGTAGGATATTTTATAGTTGCTTTGACTCTTAAAGAAGGACCTCAACATGTTGGATATTAGCAATACTATGTTGATGAAATCCACTTAAAAACGTGTGTAAGTAATTATTGTGGGAGGAATTAGCTTAGCTTAGCATAAGACTGGTTGCAGGGGAAAACAAGTACGTCTTGGAAACTATGGGTGTTTCTCAATGTCGAGGAAGGCTGCTCCAGAGCCACTGGCCGTTTCTCAATCGCGAGGATTTTGGATTCCAAGCCAATATTTCAAGGATGCTACGTCATCGAGTGCCGCCGAAGGACTGTTCCAATCTCCAGCATACTTGGAATTCCACGAGGTTTGGGGGAAATTTCGAGGCTGCACATGGGTAGACTTTGCGTCCTTAAAATCCCCACAATGCTTTGTGCACGGACCAATTTCAAAAACCCTTGCGGAGAATGGCTGAACCGACGCAGCACACATTTAAATGTAAGTATAGTGGCGTAGAACATGTGTTGGTAAATATGTTACTTTGTTACATTTGTTTGTTATCACCAAAAATGTGTTCCGTGAAAGTAAAGCAAGTTCATAATTAGATAGACATCGTGAGGTATTTATTTTCGGTACAGTTTATGTTGAAACCGTTGGAGAGAGTGGCACACTTGTTAGCCTGTTCCATTCTTATTCGTTTTCCGAAGCCGTGGCTTGGAAGCATACTTGCTTCGTTTCTGAAGGAAGTGACTTGGAAGTACGCCACTACCAAACCAGCATCCTCGAGATTGAGAAACGGCCTATGGGTGTTTCTCAATGTCGAGGAAGGCTGCTCCAGAACCACTATTTCAAGCACACTACGTCATCGAGTGCCGCCGAAGGACTGTTCCAATGTCCAGCATACTTGGAATTCTACCGAGCCCGGCGTACTTCGTTTGGAGAAATTTCGATGCTGCACATGTGTAGACTCCGCGGTCTTAAAATCCCCACAATGCTTTGCGCACGGACCAATTTCCCCAAATCTGTGGCGGAAAACGTAAGGCGGGGCCTCTCATATGACGCACACCTGCACACTTGCTCGCCTGTTCCACTCTTCGTTTTCAGAATGCCAGGAAGGATTCTTGCCTCGCTTCTGAAGCAAATGACTCGGAAGACATGTGCTACCAAGCAAGCGTACTCGACATTGAGAAACACCCTATGTGCTACAGTTTTCATCAACTCCCTGAATTTGCTTATAATTTCACTAGAATTGTGTGTTTCTAATAATGAATGAACTCATAGTGAATTGGACTGTGGTTGCAGTACAGCTCTTTTGCACCAGATTTCTGCATATTCCCTTATTTGAATACATGCAAATAGCACAGGAGCACTAAGACATGTCTTTATTAGTGCCATAATCTGCTTTAAATTCATAAGAAAGCAGTGGCTCTTACACATTGCTTTATTTAGTTAATGTTGAAGATGGTTCCTTTCAAAGCAGCTCCACAGCAAGCTGGACTGGCTCTCCAAACTTTGGTTAAACATGTATTTAGTTTGGTTGTATCATCTCTATATTTAAAGACGTGAGTATACATATGTGTGTGAGAGGGAGTCAGTCTCAGAGGCCTGCAGATAATAATAATGTTACAGGAGAAGGATTTTGGTCTGCATTCTGGAACAGTTTATTAGGGGGAAGTCTGCAATTACATATTTTCTGGGTAAACATTAACTATCTCTGTATCGCAGGCCCTCACAACAACAGCAGCAGTTTGGACTGTAACAGGGTAGACAGAAAGTACTTGCATGATTCACTTTTACTAGAAGTGTTGCCACGAAATGGGCTGAGCACAACAGTCTGCTTTATTTGAGTAAACTATTAATCTGATGCTGGTAGTTTCCAAAGGAGGACATTTTGACATGTATAGGGCTTAACCAAGAAAACCTCATGGAAATAAAGGACCATATTGAAATACTGCTAAACAATATTGTAAATAAGTATTTGAATAATAGTTTTATTGTAGTCTCCTGGATAATTTAACAATACTAGAGGCTCAGGAGGTAGATGGTTGTTCACCATCCAGAAGTTTGTATTTATTTAAATATATATACACAGGGGGTCCGCGGGGTCTTAAAAAGTATTAAAAGTTGATAAATCAATTTAGCGAAAATTAAGACTATTAAAAAGTACTAAACGGCATTTTCCAAGGTATTACATTTTGTAGCTTGTTTTCAATAAGTATCTAAATGGTCCAAAGAGGTTGTGTTCTACAGTCTGCCTGAATGTAATCATTGCGTAGGTGTGTAGTGTGATGCTGTGTAGTTTATTTAAGGCATCCCGTTGGATTTGACGTCATCTGAACAGGACGTCGCACGCTCACTGCTTGATAGCGCGAAGCTCCGTTTACGCCGGTTGTTAAACAGCATCTTTATGGGGAAATACAAGTTTGCGTCCAAATGGTTGGAAGATAAGGAGGAAGGACAATCAATACTGTATATAGTCAAGTGAGGTAAAGTGTGTCGCCAAGGTAACCGGTTAGAACTCTAAGTGGTGATGAGGTCTTAAAATGTGTGGAAAGGGTCTTAAAAAAGGTCTTAAAAGTTTTTACATTTGACTTCAGGATTCCTGCATATACCCTGATATATGAAACTCAACAGTTGTCATGTTGAAGACACCAACTTGGTGTGTCTTTGTTGCAATTTGTCACAAAACACTGCACCAAAATAGTTAAATGTATCTAACATATGAATGTGATGGGGATTTGGAATCTTAAATTGAACATGTTTTATTATTTTACCATTTGCTTTTGTTTTCTCTAAATGTGGTAAACCTGGGCAGTTTTGGCAATCTGACTTCTCATACAACCAGTGATGGTTTAACGATTACACCAGTGCCAAAATAAAACCCATGCTGTACTAAATCATATTTTTTCATTTATGTTTCTACAAAATCAAACATATAGGTTTGGCTGTTAGTGGCGCTTTGCGACATAATGTGTAACTGGGCAGTTGGATGTTTCTTGTACTGATATGCTTTGTGGAAATCCTAGACCTTTCATCTTTACGTTTATATGCTAGCTATATGAACTTAAAACAAGTATGAACTTAATACCTAATCAGCTGAGTTGTATATCCATCCAGGCCTTGGAAGAGCTCCAAAGGCCAACTATTTAACACTGAACAGGACTTATATAAATCCTCAGAATGCTAATACAGATGATAGCAAGGCTGACATTAAGGTCAGCTGACATCCTTGCATATATTCCAAGTTCGTCCTTTAGATCGAAAAACATGCACAATGTTTAGAAGAGTTATTCCTGTGTGTACCAACCACATCCTGCATCGTCACCATCCACAGAGCAAAGGTTTATATGGACAAATAAGAGGCAGAGCAGGAAGGAGGAGAGAGAGAAAGGCAAGTCATAATAGCTTACAAATGTTGCCCCTCTCTCTCTCTCTATATATGTGTGTGTGTGTGTGTGTGTGTGTGTGTGTGTGTGTGTGTGTGTGTGTGTGTGTGTGTGTGTGTGTGTGTGTGTGTGTGTGTGTGTGTGTGTGCCCATCTGAGGGCAATTTCCAGACCGGGGCAGTTGTGATGGATCTCTGCCTTTCAGGTGTAATTATTTTAAGAGAGATTGAGCTGTTAAGCACTTGAAAAACATCACAGAGTGTTTATGCTTTCCGTTCTCTCTCTGAGGTCCCTAACAGGGGGACTCACTCCTCAGAACACCAGGCGATGAAGCACAAGAAGACACTGTGAAGGGATCAGGCCCTTCATCCAGGACACGGTTCAACCATGTACTGCAGCATGTGCACTTCACTCTGCATCGGCCATTTGGCTCAGGCAGTGTACTCCCTCACTGCGAGTTGGTCGCAGGTACGTCTAAACAAAAGCACGCCCTTTGCTATCCTGGCTCCAAAATGGTGAATTGAGTTCCCCATTGATATCAGGACAGCAGGGAGTTTAAGTGTCTTCCAGTTGCAGACTGAAAACCCAGCTGTTTCAACTGCTCATTGGCCAATAAACATACAATGTTTCAATGTTGCACGTGTACCAAGTGATGAACACATAAATGCAACACTATTTTTTATTAAATACTTTAAAATATCTGATGCTTAAGAAGGCTATTTTGATCGGCGAGCACTTTACTTTGTGTACTTAAAGTATTTTTTATTGCTTATACTTTTTTACTTTTACTTAAGGACAATTTTGAATGCAGTGCGTTTACTTCTGAGTATTTTTACACTGTAGTATTGCTACTTGTCATCTACTTATTGCTAACTGTCATCTAAATGAAATGTACTGTAATATGCGAATGAGTGTTTTCAGATATAAAAAAAAGGAGTACGAAGTGGTGAGAAATGTTGTAAAAAGTCTGATGAATGCAATTTACAAACTTATTTATTTATTTTTTACTCAAATCCAATTTGCAGGTAACATCATGTAGTTCATGCATTACTAAACCGAGTGGTCTCCGGCCTCAGTTCCCCTCACACCTCCCTCAGTTACCATGGCGCCGCTCTGTGCTCTTTTCAGCAGTGGATCACCCCGGCCCTCAGGACAAGGTAAAGAAAAATCCACGCTGCTGTTAGTGCCGGAGTTACTCTCAGTCCAGCTCACATATCAACCCCCTCCACCCTCCAGAGGAGCTTTCATCCGACTGATCTTATCTCACCAGAAAAGGAAATTGACTTTGATGACTTCCATAAGTGAAGGAGAGTGCAGAATAAATGTCATGTCCTTTCTCTTAACCCCCCACCTCCACCACCACCATGGCTGCTATCACCCTCTTCACCTGTTTGGTTACCTTCCCCCTACTCCCCCTATTTTTCATCTTGACTTTATCTACAATATTTCACTCTTCCTGCTTATTGTTCTGTTCTCGGATATTAAAGAGGCCCTATTTATCTCTTTCCTGTAGTGTGTTATATAAGTTGCTGTGCATGTAAATGGTCTGCAAAGGCTCAAATCCCAAAGTTCCCTAAAGAGGGAGTTTCTCTCAATTCAAAACACTGAATGATACATTACATGTCACTTGTTAGACGCTTTTATCCAAAGCGACTTACATACTCAACACTGTGGGCAATCCCCACAGGAGCAATTTGGGGTGAAGTGTCTCAGGGACACAACGACATGCTGACTGCAGTGGGGTTTGAACCTGTGCTCCCCTGATCCCAACACCAACGCACTAACCCACTGCGCCACACAACTCCTGATACCATAGTTGAAATCTTATTTTAGCTTTTATTTTATTATATGTGCATATAATTTCATATTCCTGCACCTTACCTGAACCATTTTGTCTTTTACTTCTATGTTCTTCTCCAAACTGTAATAAAATACCTTTGGCTTTTCCAAGAGGTCAGAGTTCACGTTCAGGCACAATTAATCAGTCCTTGAGTATGGATTCACATGCGTTGCTGCCTCGTGTCACTTCCTGACAAACCCCAGCCTTCCAGATGAAGAATAATCCCTCTGATCAGCGCCTGCAGCCACAGAACGGGTCAGAACTTCTCAATTGAATATTGCGTGTAATGATATGGCACAGTATAGCAGCACCACCCTTATGATGATGGATTAGAGAGCTGCAAAAGCTTGTTTCATTGTGTGTCTGTCATGATGTTTAGCCTCCAGCAGGACAGAGAGAAAAGGAGTTGAGATTCTTAATAGAGCTACATTTAGCTTATTTACAGAACAACATCGAACCATTTCTTTTTTGGGTGTGGTTTGTACAGGGAGACAGTATTGTCTGCTAAACTGTCAATCATGTACATCATTCATTAAGTTCCAAATACTTTCGTTTTATTGTACAAACTCCCTGACAGTCGGTGCATTGTCCTGCTGTTTGAATCAAACCCCACCCATCTGGGACGGGAGGAAGCTAAATCAAGCCGTATCAAAACGTTTTTGCTCTCTGAAACAGGTCTGTGCAGTGCAGCACAAAAGAGCTCACTGACAACAGGTTGGGAGCAACTGCACAATTTGCTCAATGCATGAAACATTCATTCATTAACTTCCATTCTCTTGAACAGTGCGTGCTGTATTTGATCATAAATATCTTGTTTATTTTTTTAATAAAAACCAACTGTTGTACTTTCCTTTCTCCTAATATGCACCAGTGTTGCAAAAATCATGAATCTTTTATGGGTTTTCCCTTTCCTTTAGTGTGTTATAGGTTTGTGTGCATGTAAATGGTCTGCAAAGGCTACAATCGTAACTTCCCTCAGGCCTGTTAACGTCCATGACATAATGACACCACTATGTAACACTCACACTTCTTTTGGCTAGCGCTCCAACACATTGTATGTGATATGTTTAGGGGCGGGACATCTCTTAGCAGTTGACCAATCACAACAGAGCCGGCCAGCTAACCAATCAGAGCAGACTGAGCTCTGGTTTCAGACAGAGGGTGAAAAGAGGTGCTGCAGCACAGGCAGTATGAGAAAAATAAAGAGCTTTTTGAACATTAAAGCATGGAAACATGTCACGGGAGAGTAAACACATGAACATATGAACCTGAAAATTAGCATTATATGTCCTCTTTAATGCATAGGTTTTTCATCCTGGCATCATTTTGGATGTGATTTTTGGATTCGAGCAGCTTCTCAGTGCTCGAATGCAGAAACACAATCTGTGGGTGTTTCTTAATGTCGAGGAAGGATGCTCCAGAGCCACTATTTCAAGCAGACTACGTCATCGAGTGCCGCAGAAGGACTGTTCCAATGTCCAGCATCCTTGGAATTCTACCGAGCCCGGCGTACTTCGTAGCGAGACATTTCGAGGCTGCACATGTGTAGACTCCGGTCTTAAAATCCCCACAATGCTTTGCGCACGGACCAATTTCCCCAAATCTGTGGCATAAAATGTAAGGCGGGGCCTCTCATATGACGCACACCTACACACTTGCTCGCCTGTTCCACTCTTCGTTTTCCGAATACCAGGAAGTGTTCTTGCCTAGCTTCTGAAGCAAGTGACTCGGAAGACATGTGCTACCAAGCAAGTGTCCTCGACATTGAGAAACACCCAGTGATTCCAAATTCCTAGAGCCACATTAGATAATACAAACAAAATGTCATTTGTAAAACATCATTTTCTGAAACCGTTTTGAATAAACACACCTGATTAGTAATTCTCTGCGTATCCATGCATCAAACCTTTTATGTCTGCACACATGTCTGTCTTTCTTTGTCCTTCCAAAGTGGCCTTTTCTGTCTGTAGACTGGAAACACCTTTCCTCCTCTTTCACCCTGGACAATAGCAAAGAGTACAAACGAATTTTGTATTTGTCCACATCCTTTGTCACGCCGTATTAGTGTTATTTCCAGCCACCAGAGCCCATCACACTCGATCAAGGGCCATCTATACACACAAGTCAAAATGATTCCATTAATAAGTCACCTCTGTGGTATTTAGGCGAAGCTTGGGATTTAAGACTTCCTCTTTGCTTGGTGGAATTTGCCCGGCCTTTCGGAGCTACCTTTGTGTGATTTATGTGCCTCCGGTGGATTAGGAGTACTCAAAAGCCATTTAAATCACAATCCCCTGCGTTCCAAAGCAATGCTGGAAGGACAATGTAGTGTAGTGAAAAAAAACTCAACAAGTACTAGGCTGAAAGTTATAAAGCAGCCATATTCCAAAGAAGGGCCCATGAATAAAAGTGCAAACCCCTCTATTAGGGGGATGTGCCTGAACTTGAGCTGAAAGGAATGTTTTGGATTCACAAGGATCCTGTGTGTGAGACTGTGCGTGTGTGTGTGGGGTTGTATGTGACTATGAAGTGTAAGTGCGTGAGTGTGTGAGTCTGCATGAATAGATGAATTGACCCCAGGTTAGCATGTTCCATGTAAAGGCAGCAATTCAACATAACATTCTCACTGAGCTTATGCACAGCTGCACAATGCCTTCACCATGGTATCACTGACGTTATGCATATCTGACATAGTCATGAAAGATGGCCTCTGTGTAGAAAAACATCTGTGATGCATACTTTCAGCTCTAGCCGTATCTGTTTTTATCATGAGAGACTGTTTGTGTGCCTCCTCACAAGCTTGTGTTTGTGCGTCGCATGTGTGGTCAGAAAAAGCAAGGCCGTTTCCTTCTGAAAAATGCTGGGAAAGGGACATAAATCTCCCCCGGGTCCCGGTGGGACGTCACGGAAAACGGAGACCTTAAAGGCAGGCAGGGGAGGAACGCAAACATCAATCGTGGAATCCAAGGAGAGCGTGTTCTGGGTCCTGTCGAATGCTTAAAACCAGGCCAGGAAGTGTGTATGTCTACCTGAGCATGCTTGGCTTTTCCACGTCTTCGTGTGGAGTTGGTGGATTTGTGTAAGAGTTTCAGTTTGTGCGTGTGTGTAGACTGGTCTAAAAAAAAAACACCTTCCCAGATTCCCCTCTTCTGGGGTGGAAACGGGCAATAAATAGCAGGGTATCTCCTGGCGGCCGTCCAGCAACCGAGGCCCTGGCAAGGAAGTGACTCAGAGAGAAAAGGAGGAGGGGGGGGGGGGGGGGTGTAGGAGGATTTTTGTGTCTCTTATTATCAGTCAGCCAAGGCAAACCACACTGGCAGGCCAAAGAGGGAAGAGAAGGAGGTGGGGAGGAAGTGGGGGGGAGAAGGGGAAGGTGGTTTTGGGGGAGGTGGAGAAAGGGGGAGGCACTGCCAGTGTGATAGGGCCTCTGCTGCTGGTATTTGGCTCTTTTTAAGAACTGACTTGTGACCTTCCATGTGCAACGAGCCAAGAATCATGCTGGGAGAGTTTGTTTGCTGACACCTAAGTGATGAATGCTCTCCCTGCATATTCTGGGTTATTTAAGAACACATCTTTGGTTTAGGAAAGTATCTGTCTTTCTTTTAGATTTCATATTCAGCTAGGAAAATAAAGCTCCTTTCATGATTGTGTGTGTGGCAAGAGTTGGACGAGGGGCTCCAAACTAGGCTGGAACTAACGTCAGCTAAACTCTACATTTGTACTTATAGTTTTACGATCATTCCTATTGCTTATGACGCTTATCACTCATTGAATTCATTGCTAAGATATGGGCGTGTGGCAACATCTCTGTCCGTTGAGTCTGGGTAATAATGGAACAAAAGCAAACAGGAACAACACCTGTGGTGCGACTCAACAGGAAGCATTTCAAAGTGCCACAGGCATCCAAATAAAATGCTTTTGGAATTGCAAACAGTGGCTTGAAACCCACTCCTCCCTCAACTTTAGATGCAGGAATTTAGTGGGCTATGTCTGGCGATCTTTGTAACTTTCTGAAAACCGACAAACCAAGCATGCAATTCATGCAGCGTTTGACCAGGTCACCAATAGAGGAAGAAGCATATTTCTGTCTGCAGTGCAAAGTGCAGTACGGCTAGGGTGATCCATGTTGCCTCATTAGTTCACATACATAGGTTAACTAAATGAACAAGAACCAATCTTCCCACTGTAGGTTATCCCATTATATTTTGCAGTTAGACTTCCTGGTTCAAATTGATATAGTATTTACTACAGAAGGGTGCAGGAATGAGTCCTTAAACCTGGAAATTGGTTAACAGTTATTGAGTTGGCATTTTACAACTTTCAGTTCCTTCTTCTGGAAGTCGATGTTTTATTGAATAGATGGGGCGAAGCCTGCGAGCTAGTTCAGGCAGTAAACTCGAGCACCAATGATACATTAACACGTGACGCACCTCGTCCCTCTTACAACCAACCAAACACATTCTCCTTAACTTGCCGCTCTATTTAAGCTGCCTGGTCTTCCTGCCTCTGCCTCGCTCATGCTGCTGCTACTGCTGTGTTCACGTGCTATTGCTACGTTCATGTTCCTGCTGCTGTGTTTCATGTTGCTGCTGCTCACCTGCCCCACCACCACCCCAGCTTTCACCCCAGCTTCCACCCCAGCTTCCATCCCAGCTCCACCCCAGCTTCCACCCCAGCTCCACCCCAGCTTCCACCCCAGCTTCCATCCCAGCTCCACCCCAGCTTCCACCCCAGCTTCCACTCCAGCTTCCACCC